GAGGGATTATCTGATTATGGATGGGAGTGTCCTTGATCTGAGAGCCAATGTAATTGTGTATTTGTTTCTACTGTGGTTTACTCTCAGGTCCAGGGTGGAGTGCCCCTTGTATGGGTACATGCATACAAGGCCAGTTGTGGCTGCCATTAAAGTATTCCAGCTTGTACTCCCAGTACTATGTGTCGTCTGGTTACTGGAAGGAAAGAGGGCTATTCCTTGATCACTGTTCCAGTGTGGAAGATTCAACAGGGAAAGTCCTTGTAAGGACTAGAGCTCCCAGGACTGATTGTCGTCCAGTGCCTGGGGGTTGCTAGAGCAAATTCCCCATTCGGCTCCAGGAGGGAGCAGTTCCTGGACTAGAGCTCCTAGGACTGAGTGTTGTCCAGTGCCTGGGGGTTTCAAGAGCGAGTTCCCTATTTGGCTCCAGGAGGAGCGGTTCCTGGGCCCCAGTCAAGCCACGGCGACTGTGGGCAGAAGTGCTGTGGTTTGTCCCCTGTTCCAGCTAGGAAGCAGTCCTTTGGTGAAGGTACCCAGTCGGGGTACAGGGAGCTCCGTTACACTTACCATAAATATTGTAGGTGGAGTGCCCCCCTATCTGGTGGCCCACACCTCGAGTAAAGAAGGGGTTAAAATCCCTTATAACACTTACCTGAGTTCAGCGCCGATGTCCTTTTGGTGCTGGCTTAGGCTCTGCATCCACTCTTCTCCCACTGGCTGACTCCGCAACCACATTAGGGATTCCCCCATAGGAAAGCATGAATAATGTTTTTCACTGGGGTTTTTGGTGACAGTGTACGTCTCCATGAATAGTGTGAGGGCATCTAGTATAAGGCGACCAAAGGTCACCTAATAACCCAGAAGTCCCTCTAGTGGCTGTCTGGTAGACAACCACTAGAGGTGGAGTTAAAGGACCACTATAGTGCCAGGAAAACATACTCGTTTTCCTGGCACTATAGTGACCTGAGGGTGCCCCCACCCTCAGGGACCCCCTCCCGCCCGGCTCTGGAAGGTGGAAAGGGGTAAAAACGTACCTTTTTCCAGCACTGGGCGGGGAGCTCTCCTCCTCCGATCCTCCTCCTCTCCTCCCCGTCGGCTGAATGCGCACGCGCGGCAAGAGCTGTGCGCGCATTCAGCCGGTCGCATAGGAAAGCATTATCAATGCTTTCCTATGGACGCTGGCGTGCTCTCACTGTGAAAATCCGCTAGGGGATTTGGGGGAAGGCTTAACCCATTCATAAACATAGCAGTTTCTCTGAAACTGCTATGTTTATAAAAGAATGGGTTAATCCTAGCTGGACCTGGCACCCAGACCACTTCATTAACTTGACGTGTTCTGGGTGCCTAGAGCGGTCCTTTAACCCTAGCAGTTAATTATTGCAGTTTCTTAAAAACTGCAATAATTACCTTTACAGGGTTAAGTGTCCTGGGACATAGTTACATAGCTGAAAAATAGCTGAAAAAAGCGCTTCCAATTTTGCCACAAACTAGGAAAAAATTAATTCTTGACCCCAAAATAGCAGTCAGATGTCTCATTGAATCAAGCAGCTATTACCCCACTAATTAGAAATTATATTCCTGTATGTTATGATTTTGTAAGTATTTATCCAATTGCAGTTTAAACATCTGTAGTGACTCTGACAAAACCACCTCTTCAGGCAGATAATTCCATATCCTTATTGCTCTTACTGTAAAAAAAACCTTTTCTTTGCCTTAGATGAAATCTCCTTTCTTCCAGCCTAAATGTGTGACCTCGTGTCCTATGTATAGCCCTGTTTATGAATAGATTTCCAGATAAAGGTTTGCACTGGCCCCGAATATATTTGTATAAAGTTATCATATCCCCTCTCAGGCGCCGTTTTTCCAAACTAAACAGATTAAATTTTTTTTTAACCTTTCTTCATAACTAAAATGTGCCATTCCTTTTATCAATTTTGTAGCTTGTCTCTGGACTTTTTCTAGTGCAAAATCTTTCTTTAGAACAGGCGCCCAAAATTGCACAGCATATTTAAGGTGTGGTGTTACCAGCGATTTATAAAGAGGCAAAATTATATTTTCATCCCGAGAATTTATGCCCCTATTTATGCATGACAAAACCTTACTGGCCTTAGCAACTGCAGATTGACAAAGCATATTGCTGCCTAATGTGTTGTCTATAACAATTCCCAAATCCTTCTCGTGTGTGGTTATCCCTAATTCACTACCATTTAGTGTGTAAGTTGCTTGTGCATTCTTAACCCCAAAGTGCATAACTTTGCATTTCTCTACAAAGATTTGTGCCATCTGCAAACACTGATACATAGCTTTCAATGCCTATTTAAAGATCATTTATAAATATGTTAAATAGAAGTGGTCCCAAAACAGAGCCCTGAGGGACACCACTTACCACTTTTGTCCAGCCTGAAAATTGACCATTAATTACTACTCGTTGTACTCTATCCTTAAGCCAATGTTCTACCCAGGAACAAGAATATTCATCTAGACCAATTTCTTTTAGTTTGAAGACTAACCTATTGTGAGGAACTGTTTCAAATGCCTTGGCAAAATCCAAGTAGATCACATCCACTGGAACACCCTGATCTATACTTCTACTTACTTCTTTGTAGAATGCAATTAGGTTAGTTTGACATGACCTATGTTTCATAAAACCATGCTGATTATTGCTAATAACAAAGTTCTTCCCAATGAATTCCTGAATATTATCCCTTAATAGCCCTTCAAATATTTTCCCAGTTACAGAAGTTAAGCTCACAGGTCTATAATTTCCAGACAAGGATTTTGAACCCTTTTTAAATATAGGAACAACATCTGCCTTCCTCCAATCCTTCGGTACAACACCTGAAACTAGTGATGTCCTGGACGGTTTGCTGGCGAATAGTTTCTGGCGAACATCGCTTGTTCGCATTCGCCACGGATGGCGAACATATGCGCTGTTCGGTCCACCCCCTATTCATCATCATTGAGTAAACTTTGACCCTGTACCTCCCAGTGAGCAGACACATTCCAGCCAATCAACAGCAGACCCTCCCTCCCAGATCCTCCCACCTCCTGGACAGCATCCATTTTACATTCATTGTGAAGCTGCATTCTTAGTGAGAGGAGGGACAATATAGCTGCTGCTGATTTGATAGGAAATTTGATAGCTAGGCTAGTGTATTCAGTGTCCACTACAGTCCTGAAGGACTCATCTGATCTCTCTGACCTCACTACCCCCCACACCCTCAGCCTCACTACCCCCACACCACCCCCAGCCTCACTACCCCCCACACCACCCTCAGCCTCACCATCCCCAGCCTCACTATCCCCCATACCACCCTCAGCCTCACTAGCTCCCACACCCTCAGCCTCACTACCCCCCCACACCCTCAGCCTCACTACCCCCCACACCACCCTCAGCATCACTAGTGAGGCTGAGGGTGTGGGGGGGGGTAGTGAGGCTGAGGGTGTGGGAGCTAGTGAGGCTGGGGGTGGTGAGGCTGGGGGTGGTGTTGGGGTAGTGAGGCTGGGGGTGGTGAGGCTGAGGGTGGTGTGGGGGGTGGTGATGCTGAGGTGGTGTGGGGGGTAGTGAGGCTGAGGGTGTGGGGGGTAGTGAGGCTGAGGGGTGGTGAGGCTGGGGGTGGTGTGGGGGTAGTGAGGCTGAGGGTGGTGATGCTGAGGGTGGTGTGGGGGCTAGTGAGGTTGAGGGTGTGGGGGCTAGTGAGGCTGAGGGTGTGGGGGTAGTGAGGGTGTGGGGGTAGTGAGGCTGAGGGTGGTGTGGGGGGTTGTGAGGCTGGGGGTGGTGTGGGGGGTAGTGAGGCTGAGGGTGTGGGGTGTAGTGAGGTCAGAGAGATCAGATGAGTCCTTCAGGACTGTAGTGGACACTGAATACACTAGCCTAGCTATCAATTTCCCTATCAAATCAGCAGCAGCTATACTGTCCCTCCTCTCACTAAGAATGCAGCTTCACAATGAATGTAAAATGGATTCTGTCCAGGAGGTGGGAGGGTCTGGGAGGGAGGGCCTGCTGCTGAGTGGCTGGAATGTGTCTGCTGACTGTGAGGTACAGGGTCAAAGTTTACTCAATGATGACGAATAGGGGGTGGACCGAACAGCGCATATGTTCGCCATCCGTGGCGAACGCGAACAAGCGATGATCGCTGGGAACTATTCGCCGGCGAACCGTCCGGAACATCACTAGTTTCAGGTGTTGTACCGGAGGATTGGAGGAAGGCAGATGTTGTTTCTATATTTAAAAAGGGTTCAAAATCCTTGTCTGGAAATTATAGACCTGTGAGCTTAACTTCTGTAACTGGGAAAATATTTGAAGGGCTATTAAGGTGGCACATTAGATTGCACGTGCAGTGCCCCAAATTTGAAGTAGTAGGACCGACCAAGCATCTTTTTCCATCTCCCGGTTCCTAAAATCGATGCCATATACACGTCCCCTGACAGGGGACGTAACAGGGATTAAACTGATAGGAATAGTACTACTTAACACACCTTATAATAACGCAGAGAGAGGCAACGCAGAGAGAGGAGTCTGAAGAAGAGGAGTCAGAGGAGGAAGGTGGCTTTGAGGAGGTGGAAGACCAAACACAGCAGGCGTCCCAGGGGGCTTGTTGTCACCTTTTGGGGACCCTTGGTGTTGTACGTGGCTGGGTGGAGGAAGAGACCTTCAATGACATCAGTGAGGACAAGGAACGGGACATGGCTAGCTTGGTATCCAACCTTGTGCAAATGGGGAGTTTGCGGTTGTGCAAATGGACTGTTTGCGGTTGTTTGCGGTGCGTTAAACAGGGAGTTTGGTCTGTCACTGTGAAGCGGGTGTAACCCTTACACTACCTGATCAATACAACATCATACCTGATGTTTTAAAGCACGTTATTCCAAACAATTTAAGAATGTTAGGTGATTTATGCCCTTTATGGATTAAAACCAGACTCTGCATCAACTATGTAATTTTCCATGGGAGTTTTGCCATGGATCCCCCTCCGGCATGCCACAGTCCAGGTGTTAGTCCCCTTGAAACAACTTTTCCATCACTATTGTGGCCAGAAAGAGTTCCTGTGGGTTTTAAAATCTGCCTGCCTATTGAAGTCTATGGCGGTACGCCCGGTTCGCCCGTTCGCGAACATTTGCGGAAGTTCGGGTTCACCGTTTGCGAACCGAAAATTTTATGTTCGCGACATCACTACCTGAAACAAAAGAATCTTGAAAAATTAAATACAGAGGTTCACTTATTTCCCCACTTAGCTCCTTAAGTACTTATGGGTGAATACCGTCAGGCCCCGGAGCTTTATTTACATTAATTTTCTTTAATAGCTGTAGCACCTTGTCTCGAGTTATCCAATCACAAGTTATTTGCAAGTTTTTTGCAGCAGTCATTTGCATATCTCTTGCCATAAGATCCTCATTAATATATACTGAAGAAAAATAGTTATTTAAAATTTCTGCTTTTTCCTGGTCTTCATTAGCTACTAAACCCAACTTTGTTTCCATTGTACTTACACTTTCATTTTTTGTTTTTTTAGAATTGATGTACTTGAAAAAAAATTTGGGGTTGGTTTTGCATCAATTTCTCATTTTCTAGTTTAGCCACTTTAATTGCCTTTTTGCAAGCGTTATTGGCTTCCTTATATCTTAAATAGGATGCCTCTGATTTGTCCGATTTAAATGCTTTAAATGCCCTTTTCTTATTTTTAATGTCTTTTTTACTTCTCTACTAAGCCACATTTTAATTTGTTTCTTTTATATTTATTACCCAATGGTACATACTGAGAAATGTACCTTTTTAATATTTGTTTGAATAGTTTCCATTTATCCTCAGCGTTTTTATCACTAAGGAGTTTATGCCAGTGTATGCTGTAGAGCTGCCCTAATCTTATTGAAATTGGCTTTTTTTAAATTATATGTTTTAGTATACCCCAGTTGCTTTTGCTTTTTTGAGTTTATTTCAAAATTTACCATATTGTGATAACTATTTCCCAAATGCTCCGCTACTTGAATGTTGGTTAAAAGATCAACATTGTTTGTTATGACGAGATCCAGACAAGCATCCTTTCTAGTAGGTGCTTGTACCAGTTGTGACATAAAAGTGTCATTTAACACATTCAAAAACCTGATTCCCCTTGCTGAAGTACTAGTCCCTCTATTCAGGGACGTATTAGCCGGGAGGCAAACAAGGCATTTGCCTTGGGCGGCATTTTTCAGGAGGCGGCAAAAAACGCCACCCCCAAATGCTCAGGGCAAATGCCTAGTTAGCCTGACATGCTGGGCGCTGGCCGCTGGGCGGGTGGCGCTGGTGCTGGGCGGGCGGTTCAGCCACTGGACCACCAGGGAGAGAGAGGAACCCCCCCCCAGCATTCCCATAGGTGCCTAGGGCAGCACAAAACCAGGATACACCACTGCCTCTATCCCAATTTATGTCTGGGTAATTAAAATCTCCAATAATTAACGTGTTACCTCGATTTGCAGCTTTCTCAATTTGCTCTAACAGCTGTTCTTCCTCAACAATATTTACATTAGGTGGTTTATAACATATCCCAACCAATAATTGATTTCCCTTTGTTTGCCCCAAGCAGATATCTACCCATAAAGCCTCCACATTTTCCTCATCACACTCCACATGCCTAAGATTTGACTTTAACTCATGGTTGACATATAAACATACCCCACTACCCTTCTTGTTTTTTCTATCCTTCCTAAATAACGTGTACCCATTTAAATTAACTGCCCAGTCATGTGTCTCATCCCACCATGTTTCTGTTATGCCTATTATATCATATTGTTTAGTGTATGCTATTGCCTCTAGTTCCCCATATAGGCTCCTTGCATTAGTAAGCATACATTTAATATTATCATGAGTCTTTTGTACTTTTTGTGAATGATCAATATTACATACCTCCTCTGTTTTGAGCTTTCCCCTCACCCCATCTCCACCCCCTTTGTTCTGAGCTAAAGCCCATCTCCTTTCCATCCTGTCTCCATTTTCTAGATTGCTTTGACCCTCCACCCTACCACTAGTTTAAAATCTCCTTCAACCTTCTAGCCATCCTATCCCCCAGCACAGCAGACCCTCTTCCGTTTAGGTGCAATCCATCATGACTATACAGGTTGTATCCAAGGGCTAAATCGGCCCAGCGCTCTAAAAACCCCAAACCCTCTTTCCCTCACCAAGACTTTAGTAAGCTGAAGTTGTCTGGGTGCCTATAGTGTCCCTTTAATGTTGTATGCATGTATATGTAATTGATTTATGTCATTTGTATAACA